GTTATTTAGGAATCAGATTTGGACACACACATAGCCCACACAGAAGGTAATGGCAGCGAAAAACAGTAAGGCAGAATACTTGAGCACATCATAGCCAAATGCCATCATGGTAAGGCAGAATACTAACCATCATCATAGCATGCTCTAGAGAAGGTAAACATAATTTAAAGTGTGCTTAAAGTAGAGAAGAGAGAGTACGGTTTATCCCTACTTGGGTGTATCCCAGCCTGGGAACATAAGCTTTAAGATGGTGTTACAAGTGTGCTTTCTTGCGCACACAAAGCTTGACACTGGAGAGGGCTCAGCGGGCTCATCCTCTTCCTCTGAATCAGGGACAACCTCCGGAATACCTTCTTCAAGAGGATGAAGTTGCTCAATCACCAAATCGCCATACGCGGAAAAGGATTTTTCATCCTCGACGGTCTCCTCAGGGTTGATTTCATCCACAGTCTCTTCAATTACAGAAAGGTACACTACAAGAAAATATCAATATTGCAATGGATACATTGCAACAGACTTTTTTCTGTTGTAGAATTGCGACGGCTTTTTCATTTGCAACGGAATTATTGCGCAACGGACTTGTTTGCAACGGAAGTTTTTTGCAACGGTTTTTTTGCAACAGAAAGTGCTAGTATCCGTTGCAATTTTGGCGGGAGGTTGGCGCCTTTTTACGGGAAAGATCTGCAACAGAGATCTACAACAGTATTTCTGTCGCAGAATGTTTGCTACAGCTTATTAAATGTCTGCAACGAAAAAAGTAGTTGCAATAAATTAAAGTTTTTTGTACTTTACATTTTTACATCTATATGTTTAACTAATTGTATATTTTTTTTAAATTTTTTAATGTGTAAATAATAATAATTAAAATTATTAACCCCAAGGTATTAAACTGATTTGCGAGAATTTAATTACAAAAAATTATATTATAATTAAAAAACATACAATGGATCAGAGTATTAAAACTAAAAAACGTAAATTTGGTTTATATGCACAGAAGTTATATTGATATACGTCATAAAAATTAGGAATATAATGTTAGTTGTTGATTTTAGTGTAATCGGCTATTTTGTATGATATATTTGATTTTGTCAAACTAGTTAGGAGGTGCGAAGTGCATAATCATTCAACGATATTGCCAATTAATAGCGGGGGTCTGGGGGCAGCAGCCCCCGGTAGCGGGGTACAAGGGGCAGAGCCCCTGGCCGGGGTCGAGAAATTTTTTTTTGATATTATTTCTTTATGAAAATTTTACAATTTTTTGTGAACAGAGTCCAAACTTTAAAGATTATGCTGTATGAGTAAACGTTTAAAATCCACCAAAAAACTAAAATACAAAATGCATAACCCCTTATTAAAAACCAATTAAATTTATACAAAAAAACACCTAAATATGTATATGGAAAAGCAATTAAATTAATGAGTAGGAGTTAAATTTAAAGTGTAGAAAAATAAAAAAAAAAGAAGAGAAACGCTGCATTAAGTCATTAACCCTTACGCGACCCACCCAACCCTATCGCATACTCATCGTCAGAGCTCCGCAACTGCCTGTTATCTATCGAGCACGGCTGCCCGGCGACTCAATCAAACGGCCGGTAGAAGTTCTCGATATAACTCTAAGGTTGAGGTAATCCTATTTGTAGCTTCTAATTGTGTCCTTTAGTATTCTGATTTTTTGTTGCTTTGGAGTTGTGAATGACCT